TTCAGAAGAAATTGTTTAAATGTTTTTAACATATTTGACCCCTGTGACCTTGAACATAAGTCAAGGTCGTTTATTTGAAAATCCTGGCAGCCCTCCATCCCAAAATGTTACTGGTCAAATATTATCACCCTAGGCCTCTTGGTTTTTCAGAAGAAGTTGTTTAAATGTTTTTAACATATTTGACCCCTGTGACCTTGGATATAAGTCAAGGTCATTTATTTGAACAAACTTGGTAGTCCTTCATTCCAGCATGTTACTGGCCAAATTTCATCACCCTAGGCCTCTCGGTTATTCAGAAGAAGTTGTTTAAAAGATTTTAACATATGTGACCCCTGTGACCTTGAATATAAGGCAAGGTCATTTATTTGAACAAACTTGGAAGCCCTTAATTCAAGCATGTTACTGGCCAAATATCATCATCCTAGACCTCTTGGTTATTCAGAAGAAGTTATTTAAAGATTTTAACATATTTGACCCCTGTGACCTTGAAAATTGATGAAGGTCATTTATTTGAACAAACTTGGTAGCCCTTCATCCAAGCATGCTTCTGGCCAAATATCATCACCCTAGGCCTTTTGGTTACTGAGAAGAAGTTGTTTAAAGTAAAAAGTTGACGCCGGACGGACGCCGGACAGACGATGGACGACGGACGCCGCACCATGCTATAAGCTCACTTGGCCCTTTGGGCCAGGTGAGCTAATAGCATGTACCGTGACATAAAAACTGTGAGGGCTAAAACAAAAACAAAACTTAATCATTTATTATCACATTATTCTCAGAATTTATAATGTATATAAAATGAATAACTATCCAGAAAGACAGGCACAGAACATACATCTAATTGATTCACTGTGTTTTTCTCAGGACTTGGTCAATAAATCAGTCAGCAACAGGTAATTTTTCAAGTATCTTGGTATATCAAGGGCATGCACCAGTTCCTTGATCTTGAGACGATCACCATACCTCCTGAAATAGTTACGACAGATAGAAATGAGGCGAGGTGGTTGACTAGCCTGCTTCGTTAAAACTGTCAAAATGTTTTTCTGTTGCTCAAACTCTGAATAGTCTCCCCTCAGGAGCCATTGTTCTCCATTCACATTGTATCCGGCAGAGAGGAAAAGGTACACAATATCTGTACACTCATGGTGGACAGCCACGTACAGAGTGGACCTTGGGGAATTAAAGAGTGGAACAACTGCGTAAAAGTTGGAGTGCTGGTTTGTGCCTACACTATTAACCTCCATTACCACATTCATTCCAAGCAGTATTTTTACGATCTCCGTATGTTTTCCATATATAGCATTCCATAGTGGCGAGACGTTGGATTTATTTCTAAGGTCAGGATCTGCTCCGTGTTCCAGAAGCAATCGAACGGTGTCCGTCATGCCATTGTATGTAGCAAAGTGCAAGGGGGTGTGATTGTCGTTATCTTGATTGTTCACATTACAACCCATTGGCAGCAGCATCTCCACTGCCTGTTGGTGGCCTCCGTGACACGCCTGTCCCAGGGGAGTGTTTTTGTCGGATGTCAACCTGTCATGCTCTATTCCTTCACACTCTAGCAGAACCTTTAACATGGCTGTGTGGCCCTCCCACACTGCCACGTGCAATCCATTATACCCCTGAACAGAAGGTATGTTGACGTCTGCTCCATTTCTGGCAAGGACTTCTACCACAGCTGTTTCCCCATGGCTGGCAGCAATCACTATGGGAGTCATTTGATTACGTAATTCTTTAAGGTCTGGATCAGCTTTAGCATCCAACAGCACTTTTACAATCTTGGCATTGTCTGTAAAGACATATATATAAATCATAGCATTTATAATCTGTTTTTTGTTTTTACATCAATACGTCATTTCAAGAAACTTTTATTGTTGGATTTGACAGGGTTTTAGATATACTTCCGGTAAACAGTGATAATCTGACAGCAGTTTAAACGATATACAAAAACACTGGTGTGTGGTTCCGACTGTATATCAGACAAGAGAGTACCTGTCAGTCTATATCATTTTCATAAGTATGTCACTTTAAACTCAAGCCATTTCCATAACAAGAGGCCCAGAGGGCCTGTATCGTTCACCTGGAAATGTTAGCAAAATTGAAGTTGAAATAGCCAGATGTTGCTGTACAGGGGTTATAGAAAAAGGAGGATTTTGAAGAAATTGCTATGTTTCCAAAATTGGGCCACCCCTCTGCCCCCGGGCGGGTCAGACCCACCGTTGATACAAAATTAGTTACCCTTCACCCAAGGATGCTTCAGACCAAATATGGAACAAATCCTTTCATTTCTACAGAAGAAGGATTTAAAAAAAATGCTATATTTCCCCTATTGGGCTCCGCCCCCCAGCCCCCAGGGGGGCCAGACCCACCATTTATACAAAATTGAGTCCCCTTGGCCTAAGGATGCTCCAGACCAAATTTAGTCAAAATCTACTTGTCCGTTTATGGCAAGTAGCGTTTTAAAACTGGATATTAGAAAATTAAGACTACATCTATTTTGGAACCAATTTATTAAAATCTTTTTTTTATAATACCTGGGTAATTGATTTACTCAAAGCTATTTTTCTAATAGGGCTGCCATTTAGATAACCGTATGTACTTATTTGAACTGAAACAGGGTAACCCTGCATTTTGTGCCATGAACTACAGGCATCCATAGCCCTTCACTTTGATGATAATGTGATTAATGAATTCACTTAATATGTATAAACAAACATAATTTAATACTTATGTGTCAATGTAAATACAGTTGTAGTTCTCAAAATCTGTATGAATTGGTTTCTTATCGTAAGCCTCCCAACTGGGAAACTCTCGAAGTCTCACATTACACCCATATATTGTTTACCCTGTGCTGACATATTTCTGCACATCGCTTCACGTTTAAGGTAAATGATCAAGCCACAAGTGATGGCTTTTGTAAAAGATATATTAAATATATAGAGTTATATTAAATTATATTGTATTCAAAGTTTATTGTATACATGCACTTAATTGACTTAGCTAGGATACAAGTATACTGATCACGAGTGCTTTGGAGGTCTGTCAAACAACAGTCAGGAATGACGTATCTGACTGGGAAATAAATAAATATTAACCTACATTTTGGGATGGTTTTTTGGGGTTCATTGATTTGCTAACTGGATAGTACTCATACCCGAACCACAACATGGTACTCAATTATTGATTTGTTCAAGCCCTTATTTCTGAAAACTGAAATTAACTAAAATACCGACAGGTCACCAAGGGCCCCTTTGTATGCCTGACAGTATATCTCCCGTATAAGCACCAAGCAAAAGCAAAAGTGATCATTGACTGTTCAGAAAGGACCATTTACAATAAAGTTTTGACAGTATATGCCCTGTTCTATTTTAAAGTAAGACGACCTTGACCTTCGAAACCTTTTAAAGCCCTATTGCACATGTACCATCTTTTCAGAAAGTTTGTCCTTCTGTAAGGCCATTATCTCATGTATTTTTGACAGTATATTCCCAGTTCTAATTTTAGTAACAGTGACCTTGACCTTAAGAATTTTTTTAACCCCTATTACACATCTGCACATCACAGTGTATCACCATGTGAAATTTCAGAAATGTTGGCCATCTGGATACTATAGGGCACCTTGATTCACTGATTGTATTTTGCTTTTATTTGATACACAAACACGTCCCAATGCCAGCACCTTGAGATTCAGCCTGTTTTGTGAATCATGACCAACACATGTGTGTAAACTTAAGAAGTAAGATGATAAGGATGGTTGACTTTCAAACTATGACTTACCTACATACACAGCAAAGTGCAGAGCTGACTCGTTCCGTGGATTGGTGTAGTTCACATCGACACCCTTTTCAATAAGTTTAGTAACATAGCCCATTCCTCTAGTGACGGCCATCATAAGCAGACTGTTGTCAGTCCTTCCAATTGTAACATTGACGTCTGCTCCAGCATCTATCAACATGTCGAATATCTCTTTACATTGCCAATGTAATGACAAAGTGGCAGGGTTCTTCCCTCCTAAGTTCTTCATATCAACATTTACACTAGGAAATCGCAATATTCTTTCAACCAGTTTAACATTTTTCTGCTTCACGGCACGTAGCAGGATTGTTAATTGTTCTGTGGTACAATCAGCGTTAATATCTATATCCTGTGTGAGGAGGAAATTAGTAGCTTCTTCGTTTCTCAGGGTCACAGCAATAAAAATAGGCGAAAGATTCAGTAATGATGTCTGCTGTTTAAACAGTTCAGCATTGGATGCAAGCAGTTGCAACAGTTCCACGTTGTTTGCCGCGGCAGCAACGTGGACAAATGTGAATTTGACAACAGTCCCATTGTTGTGATGGACAGGTCCACATAAACAATTGCCATGACGTATCATTTGGGACATTTTTTCAAACACTTCTTTTGATTGGTGAGTTTCTTGTACAAAATGTTTTTCAGATTCCCGTCCACACTGACACAATGTACCAACCTCTGAAAAAGAAGTAAAAGAAAAAAACACATGAAATGTTGACAACTTTTATCTTGATCTGTCTTAAATTTACAACCCCTGTATTTTTTTCATCATGTTTAGCACTTTGTGACTCTTACTGCCGTGCCCCTCAGCCCCCTTAGGGTAAGCCCCTTCTTGAGCATAAATTTCAATCCTTATCATATACGCGTCACTTTACGCTATGATGGTGATTATCCAATTCTTGAGTATTGATTCTGATCCCAGAAGTGAAAAATATGATTGTTTATGGACGTAATTGGACAACAGACGATGCATGATATTACATATACCAATTGTATTACCATACCAATTAGTATTATTATATAAAGTAATTTAGGGTTGATAAAATGTCACATTACATATTTGTTTCCATTAAAGTTTTGAAATACTGTGACAAACATGCACATTTTTCCTACTTATTTGGTACATTGCTTATGAAAAAACATAGCAGAACAAACTTGCACTTGACATTTAGATGGAAGGTCAAATTTATTTCTCCCATAACCACTTATATAGGTTTTTCTCACTCTCCAACACATAGCTTCAAAGTTCATGGCTTTCATTGTTTCCCCGATTGAAAACAGAAACGAATGTATTCCCAAGGAAACATGTGGTTTTCTAAGAATAGGTGTCAATCGCAACAAGCTCAGGATAAGTTGAATCTTCTATATTAGGTATGTAGTCTACCGGTTTCGCCCGAACAGTGGGCTTCTTCAGGACCGTGGTTTTCTAGATATAATAACTGAATGCTATTGGAAAAAGAAGGTCCCCAAACTCTTGATGGCACATTATCATGTTTATCAATCTCTAGTTAGATAATTTTTGAAATTGTAAAAGAAGCTCGGGAAACCTTGTGTTGTAATTATGCAATTTGAAAATTACCTACCAGCAGGTACCTCCAGTTTGATAAACACAATAACCTACCATCACTCATTTATCTGTCAAAATGTCTAAGTCTGGTGTCAGGGCCAGAGGAAACTGGGGCTAGGGAACCTCTATTTCTGTGTATAGGTGATATGTTAGTATACAGTGCTTTAAAAATCGCACATCTTATTAATCCATATAAAGATAAGGCCTGATTACTATAACACAAAATAAACAGATATTACGCAACTCGTTACTACATTTTCACTGTCTGGGGATTTAATCTTTCAAATGGTACTGTATAGCGCTTTTTACGGGTTCAATATTTCGTGGTTTCGAATTCAGTACATATTTGCAGGGGTTAAATGTCGCTGTGCACCCGAAAACTATGTGTCGTGCAAAGTATTTTGAGTGTCATCATTTAAGGGTTAAACCTCGAAATACGGGTAAACCGTTTGAAAACACTGTTCCCGAACGTCGTCATCCGCCAGTGACTTCACTGAAAAAAAACCCTCAAAGGTGTACATGTACAGTTGTGTGACCGCACAACGCACCAAAAGTTCTGTGCGCACACCGTGCATACATCATTCATACACCGTGCACACATCATCCACACATGGTGCGCACAATTGGGCGATTAAACAATCTTTCACATTGGTGTGCGCTTCTCTCCGCACAACTGTGCGATTTGGTATAATTTGTTGATCAATATTACGGGATGAAAAATACCCGGAAGGCTTGTATGCAATAATGTACACTGTATAAATTACTGTAATTTCTCATCACAATAATTAAGATTACGTACAATTTTACAATGCGTGTAACACAGTATACAGTGACCGTTGGACTGTCAAGAATGGATTTGACTCCTAGCTAGGTAACAGAACAGAAAAAATAACAATTTGATGAGTGACCAGAGTTTTACCTGGCCTGTGAGCTGCCAGAGCTGCTATGTGATACGTTATGACCGTTATGAAAACACAACTGGATGTTGAGTATTTGTTATTTGCATTCGTTCTGATCTATAGCTTCCCTTCGCCTGGTTTCCACACCTTGACGAGTTACATAAGTGCCCCGGGCGAGGGGAAAACTACGGTCCAGGTACAGTGACTATTTTTACCTGTGATGCCGAGACTGTGTTGTAATATTACATGTGCCAATTAAGGTCGTTTAAAAACACCATTTCTAAATTTAACATACTAAACAATCAAGTTTATATGTTTAAACACCAAACCATATATATTGTTAAGCCATTCCTCAATTTACACCAACCACGATTGTTATTGCACAACATTCGTTGATCATCTGCACAAATGTGCGCAAAAAATGATCGTCCAATTTTTTATCGTTCGCACTTCGTGCACACATCGTGCGCACACCGCACATCGTGTAATGTTGTGCGATCCCACAACTGTACCTTTGTAGGAGTCAACTGTAATCAATAAATCACCTACTGTATACACATAAATATGTTGTGGCCACTTACATGTAAGTGTTGTTTTTACATGGACTGCCCAGTTGTCTGGTGATAATCTGATCTTAGTTCATTTAAGTTTGCATAACAGCGTTGGGTTTTAAGTATTTTCAACATGTTGTGATAAGGTCTGTAAAAGTGGTTAACATTTTCGATAATTTCGCTGGTGTTAAGAATTCGCGGATATTTGTCAAAGCGTGCATAAAGCGAAATTAAAACCCCCGCAAAAATATAACCAATATGTAGAAATATTATATCAATCATAACTTACTGATTTCAATTTCTTTTCTGATGACCTCTTCATATTTCTTCACAAGTTCCATACAGTCATCATCTTTGTTCACAATACTTTCGTACAATTCCGACTGGTAGCAACTGATATCTATAGGAGAAAACAAATATATTGTACTTCTTATCGGGTGTGTATACATAGAAGGGGGCACACTACTGTCTATCTAATTTGGTAATTGCAAACCAACAGAATAAATAATATACCACAGTGCTGCTTTTTGAGAATATAATATATATATATATATGTAACTTTTTTTGAAGTTTCAAACATTATTCATTGGACAGATTAATTCAACGCATCCATATGGTTTAGCAGACAAACGTATTTACATGTTTACTTTATGGACCAACCAAATTAAACACGGGCATGTCATATGATTTTAATGTCTCCACATTTTTACATTTGTTAATTTGAAGTGTAACAGAGGTCATTATTTTTTCAACGCCTCCGCTAGGAGTCGAACCCCGGACCTCTGGCTTACTAGTCTTACGCTCTATCGAATGAACTAAAGAGAAATTCTCCCTAGCCGAGTCGATAGGAAGCGGCTAGTATTTTACAAGGGTGACAGAAACTTGGCAGTTTACTTCAAAGGACAATTTCTGAGGTAATCACAATTGTCGGAGTGCTGTTCGGAACAAAATGTTTCATGGATGATACACACACACTAACATTTTTAATGAAATGACTGACAGCTAGATCATGTAAAGATACAGACTGAAACAATACTTTTGTTTATTCTCACACAACTTTGCATCAGAAAGAAAAAAAATCTTCCACAATTATCACTTGTTAACTGTATGCAAATGCAGATGAGAAAATGTCAAAGCATCAAATAATAAGTTGCGGGACACAATGCTCAAAGGTCTGATTGCTTTTGCATTTTGAAATTTTATAGATCTATCAAGGCCACATCTGGAATACGCTGCCAGTGTCTGGCGTCCACACAGAGCAAAACATATAGATCTCCTTGAAAATGTTCAACAAAGAGCAACAAATCTTAAACCAGGGCTAAAACATCTAACATCTACTGAGCATCTACAAAGATTAAACTTGCCAACATTGAAGCACCGTAGAATGAGAGGAGACATGATTAATGTATTTAAAATTAAAAATATTTTTTATGTTTGAAATTGACAATAACAGAAAACAAGAGGACACTCCCAGAAAATCTTCAAACGACGTAGCCGATAAGATATAAGATTTTTTTTCAGTTAACGAAGTGTAGAAATATGGAACAATATGCTTCAACATGTCATTGATGCACCCACAGTTATAAAATTTGAAATTCTTATAGACGAACACTGGAAGAATAATTGTAATTAAATGTTTATGAAAATTTATTTCACCTGAAGTGTATTTTAACTGAAGTAGTTTATGTAATATTGTGTTATTGATATGAATACAGACGCTTAAAGTCTGCATCCATTACAATTCCTAATAAATTCTAAAATCAAACAACCAATGGTATGACAAATTATATTTCAAAATTAAGAATTGGTTGACCATTTAAGCATCAGTTTTCATAGCTTTTTATCATTTATGAATAAATACAGGAATATTATCTCAATGTATGTGAAAATTATTATACATAGTCTATAGTTAAAAGTCATAAGTGGCTGCAGGGCTAGACAATAACAGTAGCCTGCTAGTCTGAGTCTAATGAAATCTCGGGCTCGACGATTGATTTTAGAAACTGCTTGCCTGATTGACCTTTCAAAATTTGATATTACGTACATGTACCATGTTAAATAGTGGTTAATGGAATTCGCACATGGGCTAGTAATATTGGAAAATACTTACCCGACTGACTAGTGGTTTTTAAAGTAAATTTCTAGTACCGAGTGGTTTCAGTCAAGACAAAATAAATACATGTACAAATTATATATATATATGTACACATTGTGACCTCATATTATATTTACAACAGTTACCTGTCACATCCATCTTCTCCTCTTCTGTATCAATTGTTGACATCCTTCCTTTATGTCGTTTATAAATTCAGATAAAGATCTGTAATGAAGACAGCCTATTAGCTTGTTGGTAATTATTTTATCAAGATAGACTACAGTCCATGCAATGCACAATTTAACAGGTTTCGTTCTTCGTACCTGTCAGCAAATCTTTTTCATCACGATCTATAACTGCAGATTCAAGAAATCTGATTGGTCTTTGTAGTTTCTAGAGAATAATAACATGAATAAAATCATAGTTACATGCAGATGTGCTATAATTACTTCCCCATATATATATATATGACAAAGACAGCAGTTATATGATTTTTGGCCGTTTTATTGATAATACAACAACATATATGTATACAAAAAGCCCTTTCACCCCGGATCAAACTTTAATTAGTCCATTTGCAAGTCCATTACTCACTGTCATAAATTTGACTGTGGTGAAAGGGCTACACAGAAATTCAGGCAACAATCACTTCCGGCACTATGAGCATATAACATTTACTTCCGGCACTAGCAAGCAACATTCACTTCCGGCACTGAAAAGCAACATTCACTTCCGGAACAATTAAGCAAGCAGCATTCAATTTATCAAACAGTAGTTAAATATTATATATACACAATTGGTCAAATTCACATTATAGCGAATTAGTAGCAAATAATATCAGTATAGTTTACCAAATCTTGACAAATAATAATGATACAAATATACTGTACATACACAAGCACATCTAGCAACAAATACAAGTGACATGCGATGAATTAGCATAATTTAACATAAATTTAACCGCCAAGCCCCCGGCCCAAAAAAGGAGGACAATATCTACCCGGCTTATCGAAGACCTGTGATTTCCTATTATGATCTTAACTTGGAACAGTGTCATGTGCTGCTTGAAAGGCAATAATGGAATGCTTTACAAAGTTGGCTACCTGCATTTTTTGTTTTAGTGAGTGGTCAAGGTAGACTTTATACGCGTCGCTGGCCCAATCCCCTTGCAATTGTATAAGTTCCCCTGTGACATTTGATTGAAAGGCCCATGTGGCCCCTCCCCGACGAAAACTGTGGGATGAGAAAGGAGCTGGATCCCTACCCGTTTGGACAAGTAACTGTTTCAGAGACTTTTGAAATAAAGAGTACGAAATAGCTTTCGGTGGGTGACCCGGGACGGAAAAGGCTGGGGCAGTTACTGGGGCTGGGACTAAGTCACACATGTTGTAAAAGGCTAGAACCGGACATAAGGTAGAGGATGGAATCCTAACGAGTGGGATTATATGTTTTCGTTTACCAAATTGGTTAGTCTTGGACCATTTCAAACAGATCAATAACATGTCTCCCTTAACTGTGATGTCCTGCCTCAATAAAATTTCCTCTGGTTTAAAAACCCCATTCGTACTTACGATATTGGATTTTCTGATCATTAGATAAAAGGAAAACAAAAAACTGCACCACAGGGTCGCTAGTAAAGGGTCTGAAAAATCTATGAACTTGGAAATTTCCAACAAAATATGTGGTGTGATGGGGGAGGCTCTGTTTGGGCAGTGGGGATGGAGACGGGCTATACCTCTTAAGGCAAGATTGACCTCAAACTGCCGGACTTCTGAATAATCAGTATCAGTTAAAATATGAAGCATTTTCACCCCACTAACGTAGTTACGTATAGAATCAGAACTTTTCAAGCTTCGGCTCAAAAATTGGATATATAAACATATTGTTCGAGTGTTAGCTGGTAAGGCTTCCTGCTGAAATGCCTCGCAAAACAGAAAATAGGCCCGCCATTGTATCTCTAAATTTCTGAAAGTGCCTTCTGCAAAGGCCGCCTTCATGGAGATTTTTAAATCATCCTCTAACTTCTTAAAGGCTGCCCCTACAATAATAAGGTATGGACTATAAAACTAAAACAAACAATTCTGTACATTTTATGATACACTGTCAAACCTTTCCCCTATCAATTACCATATATGGGAGAATTTAAAGGTATCCTCTTCCAGGGGATGGACTGTGATTTCCATTCCTTTGGTCAGTTCATGGAATTTGTCTCCATGAGATGGGTCCAAATGCCATCTCGAAAGATGATCAGGGATCCTGTTTGATTCACCTTCAATATGACTGGCTCTTAACTCAAACTCATGAATTGCAGCATGAAAACTTATCTCTCGAAGACATGCTTGCATAAAAGGAACCCTAGACTTCCCCGAGTTTATGACCGCCACAGAGGCACTATTGTCACAATTAATGACAATTTTCTTACCTCTGCACTTATGTCCCCATAACTTTGCACATACCACTACTGTGAGTAGTTCCAGGCAGTTAATACTGAGATCCTGCTTAAGGATAAAATCTGGGAACTTGGTATGAAAACTCTGCCCTTTGAAAAAACCACCGCAGCCTGATAAACAGGCATCTGAGGCAAACTCATCGTCTGGCACAGACCATTCCTCTAGACTCATCATAGAGACACCGTTGTATACTAGTAAAAATTCTTTCCACCACAGGAGGTCTTTTTTGACTTCTAACGGTACCTTTTGCTGTTTTGGACCCTGTGCTATCGCGAAGCCAGTTTAGTAGTCTACTAATAAAAATACGACTCTGACACAACTCGCGACGAACATGAGCTTACCCAACAGTGACTGAATGTGCTGGAGAGATGCCACCTCTTTGTCTAACCAGACCACCAACAAGTCCATTATTTCCTGTAACCTGAATGATGGTACCTCTAACGTCAGGTTTTCTGTGTCAAATAGTACTCCTAAGAACACCATTCTAGTGGAGGGAGGAACAGCTTTTTCTAAAGACTCAACTAGACCACAATTGTGCAATACTGTACCTAGGTACTCGAATGCATCGTTGCTTTTTGACTGCTCCTCGGCACCCCCGAAATCATCCAAATAATTGAGGATGTAATATCCGGCTTGTAGGCATATAAAGGAGACAGCAGAAGTGAGTCTTTGACATATATAAGCTGCAGATCTAAGACCCATGGATAAAACTCTGTCCAAATAAATTTTCCCACTCCACATATATCCCACAAGATGAATGTCCCCAGGATCTATAGGGATTTGACGATAGGCACGTTTGAGATCTCTCTTAAACAAATGACATCCCTTACCTTTCTCTTTGACCAGCTCAACCAGATCATCTACTCTGGGATATGTTAGATTGATGGGCTTACCCAGATATGTATCCTTGGGAATATGAGCATTGACAGACTTACCCTTTGGGAGACTGAGGTCCAGTATTATCCTTCTTTCCTTCGAGTCTCTTTTAGGTACAGAATTGAGAGGAGATAATTTAATAGGTGTACTGAGAGGATTTACCTCGAGTGGACCTAAAATGGCCTCTGCCTCCACCTCCCTTTTTAGATACTCATCCATTTGTTTTGGATAATCAATGGCTCCCTTATGATTGACTGTGATGTCCTGTGGCCCAAATTCGAAATGCTCTGTACATGCGCTTTCAGTATCATGTGGCCGAATACCTACCGGAGCATTGATATCCTCGTGAAATCCCAAAGGAAAACCAAATTCTATCAAATCACACAATTCCTGATCCTTGTACTCGGTCAACATAGCTCGAAAATATTCTATGTTAAGTGCTGATTTTACTTGAAACCGACACCTTTCAAAATTACACCTACCTGATTCCTGTATTTTACGATGTTGCTCTATCGGGTTTTTGGATGTGACTAACTCTGGTTCCTTACCTTCATCCGTCATATGACTTTTGTCCTTTGCAAATTGGGGCAGAAAAAATTCAACCTCGTGTCGCTGGGGTTTGTTTACAGAGATTTCCCCTGTTCTAAAATTTGACAGAGATTTCCTACCCCCTGGGCCTAGTCAGATGTGATGGGGGCATTCTTGGGAGGATTCCTGATGGGCTCTTTTAACTTTGTCCTTCCTCCAACAAGCGGCGCAAATGTGAGCCACATGTCGTCTAACTCCCATAACCTCCCCCTCATGATCCCCCTTTTCTGTGCATTTGTTTCTTTGGTATGCAGAACAAAACCAAACCATGGGCTTATCGGACGACAATTGTCCCCGGGAATTTGGGGTTTTTGACTTAGCCAGGACATGTCTAGCCAAGATTGGCACCTCAATACTAGCTGGGTTATCTGACCAATCTTTTTCCCCAATTTCGATTTTTCTAAGCCAGGCAGCGTATAAAGACAACAGGGCTTTCCATTCGTAAATATTTGAATAGTAAACTATTCGCTTCAAAAACTCTGTTCTTCCCTCTCTTTCATTTCCAGATAACTTATTACTAGATATGATTTATAATTCGCCTGCTACAAACAGCTTAAAGGACAACTCGTTAAACTGTATATTTTCATTGACATATTCAAATTGCAAGACAAATAAAAAACGATCCTGTCATCTCGGGAGTTACATGCAGATGTGCTATAATGTATCGAGACAAAAATAATGTATTGAGACAAAAATAAAACATTCCCCATCTCAGGTCAAAATCTGTGCGAGGCAAAAAACGGAATTTGAGTCAGTATCAGAGGCCTGGATGTTTCAAACATGTATATATTACAGAAGATCTATATATATGTGTGTGGGAGGATTATTAGTATTTAGTCGTTTCGGTACCACGTCGTTTCGGTACTTAACTTCTTAAGGCTCGGATCTAATCTAATTCCGTGCTTAAGGATAATATCTTTTCGGTATTTTTTTTATAAAATCGGGAACACAAAATATAAACAAAGTACGAAGTAAGTCAAAGTACCGAAATATTGAAACAACTTTTCGGGAGTATCACATCTCTGTACCGAAACAACCGAGCACCAAAACGTCTGTTCCCCAATGTCAGTCATACCACGGAATTAGATTAGAGAGAAAGGCAGTACAAATGGCCAACACTACACACACGCAGAACAAGAACACGCATTATTCTTCTCTACAAAATAATACACTAACAAGTAGCAATACACACTAACAATCTCATCCCGGCAGACACCAGAACACGTCAACAGGTCAAGGATATTTATTTCTTTGTAGAATCACCTACGAAAACTTTAATTTCATTTTCATAATCTGTATATTCTTTCATTAAAAAGTCTAAATCTAAATAACTATTTAATTATTCTTTTCGTATTCTTTGAATCCTTCTCCTGCAATATCTTCTGCATTCCTTCCTCAGACGGCAGACGACACCTGCCAGAAGCAGCCATCTTTGTTGATAGAAACACTACCCGGAACCACTCTAGGAATATCCTATGCTAGAAAGTTACTTCTAGAGACTCTCGGGAGAGGCTCACGAGGGGGTGACAGAAGAGGCTCACGAGAGGGCGTCATAACGAGGGCAATATCGCCGTAGTAATGCAGCCTACTGCGGATGAGTCATGACATAACGATTGTTTTTATCAGAAACAAGAACACATGGATGAGGTATAATAAAAAATATTATCAATAAGTTTAGTTGATATATTCACGGAATATCTATAGTTATCTATAAGTCCGTGATATATTTAAATATTAATTATTATATTAACGCATAACGTTATATTTTAAAAGATTGGTATTAGGAAGCACACATTACTATAAACTAAAATGGCTGGAATAATCCACACTTTTGTTAGGATTTTCCCAGGAGACTGGTCCTAACTCAGTGCCTCTTGTTTATTATAAAATATAACCAAGATGTCTTTACAAAGAAATATTGAGAAGGTTAAAATTATATAATGATTTGTATACAGCTTATAAAAACTAGTAAACAGGGTATATAAGAAGTGGTTTACAGACTATATAACTGATATGTATAGAATACAGAGAGTGGTATACAGAGTATATAAAGAATGGTATATAGTGGTACATGTATGTATACACATAGAGCCATTGGGAACTTAGAAAATGTCTGTGAAGTTGTTGGTTATGAATATTCAAATGACCATTGGTTTTTTTGGCCTAAAAGAAAAAGGGTCACAAATAGTTCTTATTGGTGAGAATCACTGTCATTTGTTAATCTGTTGCACATCATTTTCAACCAGAATGAGACAAATGTAGTTTGCAGAGGAATATAGGTGTGGGTGCAGCTGTAATGGTGCCAAAAGTTGTTATTTGTTTTATATTATCACGGACTTAGATATCTTAAAATCTACCAGATACAATCAAATCGAAAATACATGAAGAATATTTATAATGAAATACAATTTATTATACCAAGAACATTAACTGCTTATTTTTACATTTTATCTAACTTGACCTCTCTAGGTTAATACAAGTCCAAGAAAAAAATCACAATAAAATATATTTATTTTTTTATCAGGAATATACTATTTATGTGTATATATCACTATAGCAAGGTTATTTTATTAGATTAAATTATCTCATCATCTTTATTTATGAAAAGTACCTGAGAACTTAAACTAGGGAACTTAGGTTGCAAATATATACAATTGAAGATATTATATATAATAAATGAGCATCACAGTATATATATATAATTATTGCTGCACACTTAATAAGCATGTGACATGTCCCTGTAACCCACATCTAATTATAGGTAAGTAGGGGAATTATTATTGGAAGCCAATATCAACACATCCAACATAAATACAGCACATTAAAACAAGGACCCCATGGGCTTAACAGGTCACCTGAGTTGTAATACAATTGTTATTTGTTGTTGTGATATGACAAAAACAAATATTATATAAGTATAGCAGGGAATTTTGTCCCTCCCCAATACTGAAAAGTCTCATTTCCATAAACTGTAGCAAAATTTACCCCCTCCCTAGGAGTAAATTTAAATGGGTGACAATTGATAAAAAAAAAACCTTATATATCAGATATACACCTCATACACCTTCTATAAATCAGGTATACACCTTCTGTAAATCAAATATGCATAAATAGATTAATCATTATACAAGTTAATCTATTCTGGCCAATATGTTGTGTCCCTCTGGGTGTCGGATTATTCAGATTTATCTATTCTATTTTTTTATGAAAAAAATATTAAGGCATCAAAGCAAGCTCCAACGAGCTTTACAATGATGGAAGATACTGTGAATACTGTGAATTTTCTGACCGATATGTTGTTTCCCTGTTAGTGTCCGATAAGACAGGTCAATCTTTTATGACAAATATGTTGCATCTCTCTGGCTACCAGATTAGACAAATATATCTTACCAATATGTTGTGTTCAGCACAGTGTCAAATTAAACAGAAAGCCCTATACCTCATTGAGTATCCGTAAATACTAAGCATGAGTCGGCGGATGTAAATACAGAATTTCGTTGAAACATCTAAACAGCATTTATCACACGAAAAACCAAAGAGTATCCTAGATGGGTGGAAAGACAGAGGAACACAAACATTGTTATCAAGTTTGAAGGAATTTGGGTAATAGTTATAAAGCGGAAACTGCAAATAATGATGTTTTTCGTTAGTCAAGGGGCCATTACTCTGCCAAATGGAGTCCGATTCAAGTGGTTGTCAAACTTGGGAGAGCCCTTACTAATGCATTGAACCCTGTTTGAGGACAATCAGATAATATATGTGAGAGTTAATGAACAGAAACGGCAGATAAGGATGGTCATCGAACTTGGCCGAGCCCTAAGTCATTTAACCCTGTAACCAAGTTTGAAAAAAATCGGTTAACATATGTTGTAGTTATTGCACGGAAACGAAGCGCGGCAGTTAATGACGTTTTTCGTTATTGTAGGGCCCATAACTCCGCCAAATGGGGTCCATTGAAAGTGATAATCAAACTTGGCTGAGCCCTTTAGGCATTTAACCCTGTGACCAAGTTTGAAGAAAATTGATTAACATTTGTTGTAGTTATTGCACGGATAGAAACGCAGCAGATGATGTTTTTAATTATTCAAGGGCCCATAACTCCGCCTAATGGGGTCTGCTGTAAGTTGTCATCGAACTTGGTCGAGCCCTTAAGGCATTTAACCCTGTGACCAAGTTTGAAGAAAATCGTTTTACATTTGTTGTAGTAATTGCATGGAAAATGAAGCACGACAGACAGACAGACGGACAAATCCAAATTAATATCCCTCGTTTCATAATAGTTTGCCATCGGATGACTTTTTTCCCTTTCAAACTAGACAAAAATGTATGTAGTGAAATGTATTTAATTCTAAAGAAAATTAGTACTTTACAATTTCTTTTCACATGAACGGACATAACTCTGCAAATAAACATCCACTTAATAGCCCGGGCCAACTTTGGTGAGCTCTATCCCAGGAAGACACCAGCCAAATCATATAATTTTATGAATTTTAATTCTTCAGAAGTAGTTTGAACCATTTGACATATTTGAATGCTGTGACCTTGAAAGTGAGTCAAGGTCATTTTTATTGTCAAACTTTGTTTGGCTCTTTCCCAGGATATAACCAGCCAAATATTAAGGTTCTATACCTTCTAGTTCTTCAGAAGAAGTTGTTCTAAGTGTTAGACATATCTGCCTCATGTGACCTTAAAAGTAGGTCAAGGTCATTTTCATTCGCAAACTTTGTTGGAATCATTCCCAGAAAGCTACAAGCCTAATATTTAGGTTCTATAACTTTCAATTCTTCAGAAGAAGTCGTTTTAATCATTATACATATCTGACTACTGTGACCTTGAAAGTAAGTCAAGGTCATTTTCGTTTTCAAACTTTGTCGGGCTCTATCCCAGGAAGCCACCGGCCAAATATAAAGATTCTATACCTTTCAGTTCTTCAGAAGAAGTTGTTTGAAGTGTTTGACACATTTGACCCGTGACCTTGAAACTAGGTCAAACTAATTTTCATTTTAAAACTTTGTTTGGCTCTATCCCAGGAAGCCACCAGCCAAATATAAAGATTCTATACCTTTTAGTTCTTCAGAAGAAGTCGTTTGAAGTTTTTGACATATTTGACCCCTGTGACCTTGAAAGTGGGTCAAGGTCATTTTCGTTCTTAAACTTTGTCGGGCTTCTATCTACAAAGCTTTCAGTTAAATATCATGACTCTAGGCCTGTCCGTTCTTCAGAAGAAGTTGTTTAAAGGAAAAGTTGACACACGAGGACGGACAATGGACGGACGACAGACGCGCACCATGACATAAGCTCACTTGCCCTTCGGGCAGGTGAGCAAAAAACTGTACATACCTGTCATAGATCAGACAGGAAAAAACATTTAGTAACCCACCTGAAAAGTCCTTATAGACTACATTCATGTACAACGACCCGGAAGTGTAATTGTGGTGCGAGGCCTGTATGATGACAGAATTCTTAAGTGAATATAGAGCACAAAATTTCATTGACATCTGTTCTGTACTCTAGCAGGAGTCCCTGCAGGTAGGACGTAAGAATTGTACCTGCTGCCCCCATTGTATGATCGTAAGAGGCGACTCAATTTGGGATCTTATCTTTTCTCTTCTTTCTAAACAACTTTCTTCTTACTAATGTCTCCCTTGACAATGTCTCACTTTTGGCCTTTAGTTGAGCGTTAGCCCCTATGAGGAATGCTTTGGGTTCTGTCCCCTGGCAGAGACATACCAAAGTCTGTAAAAGTGGGACAATGGGTTCGCCCGTTGTCAGTATAATGTGACCGGGAGGGGAATCCTGCAGTATGTTTCAGTGAGGTAGCACTATAAAGGCGGCATCAGTTCCGCGCTATCACAAGGAAAAAACCCGAACATATTGCAGCCTCCCAAAACACAAGCATATACTACCACATGCATCTTGCACACAGGGGAGGCCGTCCTTAAATGACCATAGTTGTTGATAGGACGTTAAACAATACTAAACCAAACAAAACAAAACTCTAACAGGAGTTATATATTCTGTATCTACCATAGGTGTCAACCTATGAAACCTCCGATAAGGGCAATCTCCTTCATTCCACATTTCCAGTAAGGGAGAAAGTGTGTGAATCGCGACTGAAACTGCTGTGCTCAATTTTTCTTTCCGACATCTCGAATGATCATAACACACACTGATAATCTGACCACAGGATGTAGATTATGAGTTCGTTTGGACTTAAATGAGAGAGTTTCGAGGGAGATAAGTAAGTTTTGGTCAAAATGAGGGCTATGGTCTACAGACAAACAGACAGACAGACGGACGGACACCCTAATTCTAGTGTACCCCTATTAAGGACAGTTAGGAGGGGGCATACACACTATATTGTATCGGACAATAAAAAACAAAGAAACCAGTTTGTCCTTTGCAACTTTAATATTTTCGTACATTAATTAAAATAATCCTGGTTTCTCACTTTCTAAGACATAACAGGCATTTATTAAGACATCAGAAATATCATATATATGCAGTTGCCAAATAAATAATGATTGAAATTTATCTGATAAATTTCTGTACATAATACACAATCAGGTAATACAATGTATTACTATTAGCAAACGTGTAAAATAATCTACATCTGTAAAAATGATATAGTGTTCAAAACATTCAATTCCACGAAGCTAACTCAACTGCAATACTTAATCTATAAAGTAAGTGTTGCAAAAAGATGCATAACAAGAGCGGTTGGAGAACAGCATAGCTCACCTACCGTACTTTAGGAATATTTTAACAATTCTGAAGTCACAAACAGGCTAATTTCTATTTTTATTGAACTCTTTTTTCTGCATCAATAGCACTGCATCTATGTTTGGATCCCCGAGAACCTTGAAACAAAATGTCAGAATCCCAGCACAAATAGTGAAGGTTGAGTAACTGGATGTCAACACTTACACCATAAATTTAACTCTGGACATACGGTTTTAAGTCCGGCCAAAACAGACAAAAATAGTTTCAAGAATTTATTTTGATAACCTAGCAATCCAATGCCATACTGCAGATGAGACTCCATAATCACCCGTAATTCTTCCAATAGCTAGGTGAGCTATTATATTTGCAACAGAACTTTTCAATTATAAACATTATTTGCTTTGACATATACATCTGTATGAGGCCCCTTTCACGTATTCGGTTCAACCGGTTTGTCTGTTGTGAAATGTAATTTTTGTCGGGAATGAATCCTAAAGGACCTGCAAATGTGTATGCAGGCGTTTCAAGGCTGGCCTTAAAGCAGCACCAGATTACCAGGTCCCACCTTATTACATAAACGAACAACCCTGGTTCAACCGTTTGGATCGTGATAAAAGAATGCGGCCCAAGTAAAAATTCCACTTCCCTCAAGGAGTTTGAAATGAGTTTGTATCAGATTTTACAGGCTGTTTCACTGTTAGGTGCTATACATTTACACGTACATAGTCAGCAAAAGTAAACATAAATTTCATACCACAAAATTTTTAGTCTGTTACACAGGATAACTTCCCAAATATTATCAGTCACAACTCTGTGTCCTACACACTTTACACCATTATCCATAAACAAAGGTATGTATTAAACATTACAAATCTTCCACATGAGGTGTGAGGTCTGGATAGTTCAACAACATTTTAACTCTGGCATTGGGTGGTCGGGTGGCGCAGTGGATAGCGTACTTGCCTTTCACCAAGGCAACCAGGGTTCGATTCCCAAATCGGACGTAAAAAGGTATGGGGTCACCTGCCTGACCACTTGGGTTTTCTCCGGGTACTCCAGTTTCCTTCCACACTAAGAGTAAGATCCCTCGCGCGCTAACACCCGGGCCAACAAGAGTGATTAATACAAGTTGAAATAACGTGTTTCATAACTGTTGTAAAATAAATAAAGTTTATATTTTTTAACTCTTGCATGCTATAATAGGCAATGAGTTCATCTCCCGATGCCGTTAAAAACTAGTGTTGGGGTTTTCAACAGTCTTAACACTTTCACCACTGTAGACCATAATGGACTCATCCAGATCAATGCATGGTTGAGTTTATCAAAGTTACATAGGGGTGAAAGGGTTAAACTAGACAACTGTATATGTATTGTATTTCGCATCAGTTTCTTGATGAACAACTAGTAGATTGTGAACGTGAATTTTTATATGTGAAACAAGATGAAAACAGCTGGTACTTTCCCTTCAAAAAACTTACCACTGTCCTTTTAAAACAAAATACACATTATCACAAATGAAAAATATGTCAGGCACAGCATACTATGACACAATGTAGTTGGCTTAGAGCTGAATATTATTTGCATTATACAAGTACCGGTACAATTATTCAATAAAGCAACATTTAACTTACTACTCAATTAACATGAGGCTATGATTAGTTGTTATGAAAGTAGGGGGCATGTTAATGAAATGCTAGATTTGGTGAAGGTTTAATACCAATTTATATTTGTCTCTTCAGCTTGTTTTTTCTCTGTGGGACTAGTATGATAAGCAAAACTTCATGATACATATGGCATACATTTCATAGCTTTTGGCTTAAAACTGTGGGACAAGTTGCACTCACAAAAACAGTTTTATGCAAAAGAAAACTAACTTGAGCTAGGAAGGGGCCAAAACTCTTGTAAAAACTGAGGCAGGATCCCAATTTTATGATCTATAAAGCTTCATGTGATACCAAAAACATACACAACAGTTCAAAACATTTGATTGAAGGCTGTGGGTTAAGTTGCACATACAAGACAGTTTTAACGGACAGACGGACAGACGGATGGAATGACAGATGGACCGACAGACAGACAGCATGATATGCTCCACTCTGCAGGTGTATAAAAGTCGTCGAAAAGAAATGAAAAGGACTCTATTAATGATATAACACTAGCAGCTCAATCATGTACTGTGATATAAAAACTGTGAGGGCTAAAACAAAAACAAAACTTAATCATAGAAAGACAGGCACAGAACATACATCTAATTGATTCACCGTATTTTTCTCAGGACTTGGTCAATAAATCAGTCAGTAACAGGTAATTTTTCAAGTATCTTGGTATATCAAGGGCATGCACCAGTTCCTTGATCTTGAGACGATCACCATACCTCCTGAAATAGTTACGACAGATAGAAATGAGGCGAGGCGGTTGACTAGCCTGCTTCGTTAAAACTGTCAAAATGTTTTTCTGTTGCTCAAACTCGGAATAGTCTCCCCTCAGGAGCCATTGTTCTCCATTCACATTGTATCCGGCAGAGAGGAGAAGGTACACAATATCTGTACACTCATGGTGGACAGCCACGTACAGAGTGGACCTTGGGGAATTGAAGAGTGGCACGACTGCGTTCGAGTTTGAGTGCTGGTTTGTGCCTACACTATTAACCTCCATTACCACATTCATTCCAAGCAGTATTTTTACAATCTCCGTATGTTTCCCGTATATAGCATTCCATAGTGGCGAGACATTGGATTTATTTCTAAGGTCAGGATCTGCTCCGTGTTCCAGAAGCAATCGTACGGTGTCCGTCATGCCATTGTATGTAGCATAGAGCAAGGCGGTGTCATCGTCTTTGTCTTGATTGTTCACATTACAACCCATTGGCAGCAGCATCTCAACTGCCTGTTGGTGGCCTCCGTGACACGCTAGTCCCAGGGGAGTGTTTTTGTCGGATGTCATCCTGTCATGCTCTATTCCTTCACACTCTAGCAGAACCTTTAGCATGGCTGTGTGGCCATTCCATGCTGCCATGTGCACTGCGTTGTACCCCTGAACAGAAGGTATGTTGACGTCTGCTCCGTTTCTGGCAAGGACTTCCACCACAGCTGTTTCCCCCTGGCTGGCAGCAATCACTATGGGAGTCATTCGATCACCTAACACTCTAAGGTCTGGATCAGCTTTAGCATCCAACAGCACTTTTACAACCCTGGCATTGTCTGTAAAGATATATATATATATATATATAAATCATAGCATTTATAATCTGGTTTTTGTTTTTACATCAATACTTCATTTTCAAGAAAATTTTATTGTCAGATTCGACAGGGTCTTAGATATGCCAGCCATGGGATTGGGGGCATATTTACTTCCGGTAAACAGTGATAATCTGACAGCAGTTGAAACGAAATACAAAAACACTGGTGTGTGGTTCCGATTGCATATCAGGCAAGAGAGTACCTGTCAGTAGATATCATTTCATAAAGTATGTCACTTGAAATTTAGCCATTTCCGTGACAATATTGGCTTACCGCTGGTTTACCTTCATTGCTTGAAGTATAAATGCCCCCCTTAATGTATCACATGACTACCAAATCACATGACAAATTTGCCTATGATGTATTTTTGACAGCATATATTCACAATTCTATTTTTAGTAATAATGACCGTGACCTTAGGATGCTTTTTAACCCCTATTGACCATGTGAAATTTCAGAAATGTTGGCCATCTGGATCATCGGATAATCCCAGGAAACGGAAGTGCTGACGGACAGACACCGTGATTACTATATAGGGCACCTTGATTCACTCAGGTTTTTTGCTTTTATCTAATACACAAACACGTCCCAATGCCAGCACCTTGAGATTCAGCCTGTGTTGTGAATCATGACCAACACATGTGTGTAAACTTAAGAAGTAAGATGATAAGGATGGTTGACTTTCAAACTATGACTTACCTACATACACAGCAAAGTGCAGAGCTGACTCGTTCCGTGGATTGGTGTAGTTCACATCCACGCCCTTTTCAATAAGTTTAGTAACATAGCCCATTCCTTTAGTGACGGCTATCATAAGCAGACTGTTGTCACTCATTCCAATTGTAACATTGACGTCTGCTCCAGCATCTATCACCATGTCGAATATCTCTTTACATTGCCGATGTAATGACAAAGTGGCAGGGCTCTCCCCACGCAAGTTCTTCATATTAACATTTACACCAGGAAATCGCAATATTCTTTCAACCAGCTTGACCTTTTTCTGCTGCACAGCACGCATCAGGATTGTAAAATGTTCTGCGGTACAAGCAGCGTTAATATCTATATCCTGTGTGAGGAGGAAATCTGTAGCTTCTTCGTTTCCCAGGGTCACAGCAATATATATAGGCGAAAGATTCATTAATGGTGTCTGCTGTTTTAACAATTCGCCATTGGATGCAAGCAGTCGCAACAGTTCCACGTTGTTTGCCGAGGCAGCAACGTGGACAAATGTGAATTTGAAAACAGCCCCATTGATGTAATGGACAGGTCCACATGAACAATTGCCATGACGTATCATTTGGGACATTTTTTCAAACACTTCTTTTGATTGGTGAGTTTCTTGTATAAAAACTTTTTCAAATTCCCGTCCACACTGACACAATGTACCAACCTCTGAAAAAGAAGTAAAAGAAAAAACCACATGAAATGTTGACAACTTTTAACTGGATCTGTCTTAAATTTACAACCCCTGTATTTTTTCATCGTGTTTAGCACTTTGTGACCTCTTACCGCTCCGCCCTGCCCCTCAGCCCCCTTAGGGTAAGCCCCTTCTTGAGCATAAATTTCAATCCTTATCATATATAAACGCGTCATTTTACACTATGATGGTGAATATCCAATTCTTGAGTATTGATTCTGATCCCAGAAGTGAAAAATATGATTGTTTATCGACGTAATTGGACAACAGACGATGCATGATATTACATATATCAATTGTATTACCATACCAATTAGTATCATTATATAAAGTAACTTAGGGTTGATAAAATGTCACATTACATATTTGTTTCCATTAAATTTTTGAAATACTGTGACAAACATACAAATTTTTCCTACTTATTTGGTATACCGTTTATGAAAAAACTTTGCAGAACAAGCTTGCACTTGACATTTATATGGAAGGTCAAATCTATTTCACCCATAACCCCTTATATTGGTTTCCTCACTCTCCAACACATTGGATAAACCCGCTAGGTGTTAGTTACCATTTTCGGTTACCCACCTAGTTAGTAACACCCTGGAAGTTGACATTGAGATGGAAGGTCAAATCTATTTCACCCATAACCCCTTATATAGGTTTCCTCACTCTCCAACACATTTGATAAACCCGCTAGGTGTTGGTTACCATTTTCGGTTACCCACCTAGTTAGTAACACCCTGGAAGTGATATTATTGGTAAGGATGTCCTGCGACATCGTCTTCCATCAAGACATCATAGTTCATGGCTTTCATTGTTTCCCCGATTGAAAACAGAAACGAATGTATTCCCAAGGAAACATGTGGTTTTCTAGATATGATAACTGAACGTTGTTGGGGAAAAAAAAAAGGACCCCAAACTCTTGATGGCACTTTATCATGTTTATCAAACTCTCGTTAGTTAATTTTCAAATTGTAAAAGAACCTCGAGAAACCTTGTGTCTTTATACAATTTGAAAATTAACTACAAGCAGGTACTTCCAGTTTGATAAACTGCTTTAAATTCGGAGGGACAATATTTTGCGGTTTCATCATTTTAGGGCTAAACCTCGAAATACAGGTAAACCGTTAAAAAACACTGATCCCGAGCGTAGTCATCCGCCAGTGACTTCACTCGAAAAAAACTCAAATGTAGGAGTAAACTGTCATCAAGTAATCACCTACTGTGTACACTTACATGTAAGTGTTGCTTTTACATGGACTGCCCAGTTGTCCGCTAAAGTGGTTATAACATTTTCAATAATTTTGCAGGTGTTTAGAATTCGCGGTTATTCGTCAAAGCTCACGAATATAGCAAAATTGAAACCCCCGCGAAATATAACCACTATACAGTATATACAAATATAATATCAAGCATAACTCACTGATTTCAATTTCTTTTCTGATGACGTCTTCATATTTCTTCACAAGTTCCATACAGTCATCATCTTTGTTCACAATACTTTCGTACAATTCCGACTGGTAGCAACTGATATCTATAGGAGAAAACAAATATATTGTACTTTTTAATCGGGTGTGTAAACATGGAAGGGGTCACACTACTGTCTATCTAATTTGGTAATTGCAAACCAACAGAATAAATATTATACCACAGTGCTGCTTTTTGAGAACATAATATATATATGTAATTTTTTTTGAATTTCAAACATTCTTCATTGGACAGATTATTTTTACACGATCCATATGGTTTAGCAGACAAAAATATTTACATGTTTACTTTATGAACCAACCAAATTAAACATGGGCATGTCATATGATTTGAATCTTTCCACATTTTTGTATTTGTTAATTTGAAGCTTGGCATTTCACTTCAAAAAACAATTTCTGAATTCACAATTGTCGAAGTGCTGTTCCGTATAAAATGTTTCATGGATGATACGTATACACACAAAAAAAACGTAATAATCAGACATTTTCAATGAAATGACTGACAGCTACATCATGTAAAGATACAGACTGAAACAATACTTTTGTTTACTCTCACACAAATTTGCCTCAGAAAATAAATGTTTTCTTCCACAATCCCTAATTATCACTTGTTAACTGTATGCAAAAGTGTCAAAAGCATTTGATCAAATAATAAGTTGCGGGACACACAGCTCAAAGATCTGATTGCTTTTGCATTTTGAAATTTTATAGATCTATCAAACAACCAATGGTATGAGGAATAAAATTTCAAAATTAAGAATTGTTTCACCATTTAAGCATCAGTTCTCAAAGCTTTTTTATCATTTAAATTTATTATCATACATACAGGAATATTTATCTCAATGTATGTGACAATTATTATACATACATGCAGTCTATAGTTAAAAGTCATAAGTGGCAGGGCTAGACAATAACAGTAGCCGCCTAGTCTAAGTCTATTGAAATCTCTGGCTCGACGAGTGATTTTAGAAACTGCTTGCATGATTGAGTACAGATTGACCTACTGAAAATTTGATATGACGTACCATGTTAAATAATATTGGGTTGGTGGAATTCGCAACATATATTTACAACAATTACCTGTCACATCCATCTTCTCCACTTCTGTATCCATTGTCGACATCCTTCCTTTATGTCGTTTATAAGTTCAGATAAAGATCTGTAATGAAGACAGCATATTAGCTTGTTGGTAATTATTTTATCAAGATAGACTACAGTACATGCAATGCACAATTTAACAGGTTTATAGGTTTCGTTCTTGTACCTGTCAGGAAATCTTTTTCACCAAAATCTATACCTGCAGATTCAAGAAATCTGATTGATCTTTGTAGTTTCAAGAGAATAATAACATGAATAAAAGCATATTTACATTCAGATGTGCTATAATATGGGTTGAGACAACAACAAAACATTCCCTATCTCAGGTCAAAAACTGTATGATGTAAAAACGGAATTTGAGTCAGTGTCAGAGGCCTGGATGTGTCACATGACATGTATATTACAGAAGATCTATATTTATCAGATGTTTATGTGTGTGGGAGGAATATTAATTTTAGTCGTTTCGGTACCGCGTTGTTTCGTTACTTGAGGATAGATCTTTTCGGTAATTTATATAAAATCGGCAACACATAGGACACAAAATATAAACACGAAGTAAGTCAATGTGCCGAAATATCGAAACAACTTTTCGGAAGTACCGAAACATCTCTGTACCGAAACGACCGAGCACCAAAACGTCTGTTCCTACATTTATTGTAGCACTTCTTTTAATATATTGTGACACTGACTTATACTAGAAGCTGTACACGTACTGTACTGTATATGTTCTGTTAAAAATCACATGTTTAGTGTTCCCGTTGTACGTGTGATATCGATGTACTCAAAATTAATATTAAAAATGAGGTATTCAATGCCGGTAATGCGTAATGCCGTAAATTAGGCCTAACAAAGGTCAGATACGTAAATATTACATATACATAATACTTCTCTACATAGATCGATTAACAAAACTGCTTCGCAGATGTACAAGTTTCGACAGAATGACCAAGATTGTACTCACCAAATACATAACGCTACTTTCAATCTTACATCTAGAATCATAGACAGTCGGACATTCGTCGGTCAAAATTAGGTCATAGAGAGTGTGCTCAAGGTAGATAACTCTGATAAAAATAAAATATACGTCCCCTGTTTGTTTTTCTCTATTTTCTTATTTATATACATATAATATGAGTATGGTTACAGTTATTTCCTTTTGCTTCAACCGCTGCAACAATGTTTAAAAAGCATTCAAAACACCATTTAGATCCAAAACGTATGCTGTGGAATAAACCGAAAGTAAAACGACGCATAACCGAGACCACTCGGGCCTTTCCCTTAAAGCGGATAAAGACCCGAGTATATTCCGAAAAAAACTCGTCAAAACTCGGCAGAAGCCGAGAGCAGCGGATTTTTCATAAATTAATCGGCTTACCTCGGCTGATTCTGGTTCCCTTCAGTAACTGGAAGATGTAACTTTTAACGTTAAATAATAAATAATACCAAGAGCATTTTTTTGTATAAAAATCAGCTTTCTAGAGCAAGTACGGTGCGTTTTCCGCTTTCAATCTACATCCTTGGATTTTCTCAAAAGTGACTTAAAATCTCTAAACACGTCCCATTGCTGATGGTACAAACTGATCATTCTGATAACTTTTTAAAGAATTCTGAATAGAGATATCAGAGAAATGCTCATAATGCTTACATGATAAAAATGAATGGCACCGCAGCGTAACGGTAAACTTGACCGGCTTTGATAGGCTAAGTAAGAATAGCTGTTGATATCAGTTTGCAATGGAGTTTTAATGTCTGGAACCAATCAAATAGTTAACGGCGAGTCTTCATCATTCTGCCATCTGTCAGGAGTACTCCTGAGTGCAGAGTAGATATATGTGGTGATACTGAGCGAGAGAAGAATAATTGAATTTTGATCTCGTGCTTTCGTGAAAAAAAGTCTAAAACAGTTCTTAAACAAGAGGTCCATTGGACCTATATCGCTCACCTGGTTTTATATTTAAGTCATTACAACTGAATGCGTTAGTACACATTTATATGAAATTTCCTCAAAACCAGAAAAGATCTATCCCAACTGGGACCACATTATCTGACTTTCAACTAATCAAGGCCTCCATTGAGTTGCCATGTTAACAGATTTTGAAATAAGTAATATGTCATATACAGGGTGTAATCAGACAATACTTTAATTTTCGTTCAACTATAAGCTTTTATAAACCTAGAAACCAAATTTGAACAATTTATGAAAACTACACCATAGAATATGATAATCTAGCTGTACCATTTCTTAAGACCGCAGTAGTCAAATCAACCTCATTCAATTAAGAAATGTTTTTTCTTCCTCAATAATGTTTTTGACCAAATTTTGTACAATCCGCTCAGGTAATTAGGGGATATTAGCGTCTTAAAGCAAAATATTAGATAATTTTCATCTTTGGGTCCCGGTCTTCCTAACCGCAAGGGTCGAACCAGTCTCATTTATTAAGGGAATGATTGCCCTCCCCCAATGAAGTTTCAGAGCAAATTTGGTTGAAATCTTCTCTAGCGTTTAGGAGATGCGTTTTAACGCAAATTTAGCTAAGTTCCCCTTCAGGGCCCCGCCATCCTGGCCTCAGGGTTCGTGCCAACATAATTTATATAAGAAATGATTGCCCTCCCCTAGTGATGCTTCAGACTAAATTAGGTTGAAATCCTCTCTGGTGTTTAGGAGGAGATGCGTTTTAAAGCAAATTAAGGAGGAGATAGGTTTTAAAGAAAAAGTTGACGACGGACGAGGTGAGCTTAAACATAGTCATTTAGTCATTTCAAATGCTCCTCTCTGCCCTTAACTATCATTATAAATGTGGGCATTTTTTCGATTTTTTTTATCATAAATTCTTTCGATCTATAAGAAAAGGGTTTGTGTAGTCTGTTGAGACTTAAACAATATAAATTCAATTTATCTTTCACCTTTGGCCGAAACACGTTAACTAAGAAAGAAAAAAAAAAATGTATATGGCTGTTCTTTACCAAAGTACTAGTTAGATCTTATTACTTCCCTGTGACCGCAAGTGAACAATTTTCAGACCTCCATTCCAGATAATCTATACAGCACAAAAACTATTACTCTAGACTTTTCGAACTTGCGAAGAAGACGTTTAAAAATATTTTTGACATAATTGACCCATGTGACCTTGAGGTCATTTAATTTTTCGTCCAACCCACCTACCGACTAGTCAAATATTTTTTACAGCAGGCCTTCTGGAACTTAAGACAGAGTCGAAAATTTGAATTGTTAACGAACGACAGAAGAAGGATAACCAAATAAAATCTAATTTTACTGTCACAGACTATTATAATTTTGTTCTTAGACGGTGAAAAAAACTATTGATACATCAAAATAATGTAAAAGAATTGTGTAATCTCGGAAAGTTTTCATATTGTGCTGCTAGAAAACGCATAGAAACCAATGTCTGATATAGACAAGTACTTAAAATGACTTTGTAAGCTCGCTCTCAACTTACTCAATTTATATTTGTATATATATAGTCTTTTGTACATGTACTACATGATGTAGTTGTTTGATATTTAACCTATGAGTCGGGTGGCCCTCGGAAATAAAGAAACTGAAACTTTATGGGATTTTGTTTGTTCCTATATATGTGTACGGCCTCGTATGAATGGATTGGCGCTCTCTGTGTCACGATCCGCACGCGCACCGGTATTCAGGGGCCTGTTCGTTTATGTGGAACAACCGGTTTATCCGTTTTTAAATGTAACAATTTCGAGTATAAATCCTGGCGGACCTGCAAATGTTTATGCAGGCCTTGCAAGGCTTTGTCAAGGCCAACCTGAAAGTAGTATCAAATTACTAGGTCCGACCTTATTTGATAAACGAACATCTGTGGTCCGACCGGTTCAACCGTTTAAATGAAAACAGCCATGCAGATTCAAAATCGTCTTACAAGAGGGTAAAGGTCAAAATTGTGTTACACCTGTGGATCGAATGTCATCTCCTGTCAGGGAAAGGTCAAATGATGGCGAGTTGGATGAGTATTAGTAGGTAAGTTATGTTATATACATCCAGGGGTTACGTTCACTTTCGATCTCTACACCCCTTGATTAGTCATAGCAAAATTGAAAGCACGCGGCTAGCTATTTGATTGGTTTCGGGTAAAAAAAAGCTGACCAATCACTAGGCTCATACCTGTCCTTTAAAGATAACAGAGGAGCGACGCCCGACTTCAAAGCCAGTAAATTTTACCGTTACGCGACTGCAAGAATTCTTTTGATGTACATCAAAGGATCGAACTAGTCTCCTCGTCTCATCCACAAGGTGCTTCACACTGAGCTTTCGATTTGAGAAAAAAAATGAGCGTAACCCCTGGATATCGAGGATGTGCTATGTATTAATTAAAATGAATAGTTCAAACTATTCCATTGAATGACGTCATAGTATTGAAGTACGTTGAAGATACATTTGTAGTTTAACAAGAAATAGGTACACCCACACTATTTCTTTCTGTACAAATATGTAAAAATAAATATTCCGTTACCAGTAAATATATGTTCATAATTTTATAATAGACGAAACTTTACTAAATTAAACAATATTTTTATTATTTCAATATGCTACATGTACTTCAATTAGAAAAAAAAAATACTTCACCCGAGTATTTAAAAAGAATCTACTTACGTGTTATAAATAATATGTCGTTGAAACATACCTAATCACCATCTTTACACATTTACTCTACCACGTTGCCTGAATAGTTTAAGCATATAGTAAAGGGTTTATTTGGTTTAACATATTTCAAACACAAGATATTATCCTCCGGTTGAGCTCAGTGAGATGCTGTATCTCCGTTTCACCACAATTATTTTCAAGTTTTTTTCGTTTTTCATAGCCGAAAGGATTTGTTTTTCAGGTTAATAAAAATGAGTTTCCCCAACACTCACTCGAAATTAGAATCGATCGACTTGGAGTATATGCATGTAGCATGCTTTTCAGGTTCAAAGGTCATTTACGATTAAAAGAAAGTTGTTTCCCGCACTATAGCTGGAGTTCACTTGGCCGATCATACTCCACTCGTTGCACTGCTTCTACTTTTCAAGTTCAAAGAGCAAAGGTCAACGTAACTTTTAGAAAATCCCGCTCAATAGCCCAGTATGTTCCCCTGCGCCGATCATAATGCAGTTCAAACTTAATACTTCCTAACTAAAAGTACTGCAATTCACGGCACCACCCGGGGTGGCGCAGTGGACAGCGCTTGCTTTTCACCAAGGCAGCCGGGGTTCGATTCCCCGAGCGGACGTGAAAAGGTATGGGGTCACCTGCCCAACCGTTTGTGTTTTCTCAACACTCGGGACAACAAGCGTGATTTTTATAAGTTGAAATAACTTGTTTCATAATTGTTGTAAATTAAAGTTTATATATATTTAACTTAAAAGGATTTATTGGGGTTGCTTTTTAAGGTCCGGAGATCAAAAGTCGATATTGCTGTTATGATAGATAAAAAAAAAATTGTTCTCCAATCCCACGTGCCGATAAAACCAAACTTATACAATGGTTACTGAACCGAAGTGTATACTTGTTGCGGATTACTAGGTCCAAAGATCAAAGGTCAAGGTCAGCAATAGAAAATTGGTTTCTTCGCAGAAGCCTGAGTTCCCATTGACCGATCATATTCAAACTTCGTACATTGCCCCTTGACCAAACCGAAATCTGTATTGTTTTGAGTGTGTCGCTAGAGTAATCATCAGCTGATCGCGAGTATCCGCTCATCAGCAAAAGTCCTGCCTTATTAGTCCTGGCCATTATGTTTTATTTACTGCTAATCCGACGAGTATGCTAGCTAGTATCATGGCACATCGTGAGCTTTCCGTCCGTCCGATAACCTGTCCTTGTTACAACTTCCCCGCCTTAGTTTACAATCTTGATAAAATGTTGTGCAAGCATTACACACAAAAACCCTAAATGGAGTTTGCGTTTCAGAACTTTACGTATTTTTGTGTCGCCTGCGAAAAGCTGGTGACACATAGGTATTGCTATGTCGGCGTCGGCGTCGTCGGCGTCGTCCGCACAGAGGTTTTCGTGCGATAACTTGAGTTTCCTTTGGCCGATCAAACACTTCATGCAGTGTTTCCTTACCAAAAGTGCTTGCTTGGGATTGATTTTCAGGTCCGAAGGTCAAAGGTCAAGGTCACTGTTACTATAAATAGAAAATATGTTTTCGTGCGATAACTTGAGTTTCCTAGGGCCAATCAAACTCAAACTTCATGCAGTGCTTCCTTACCAAAAGTGCTTGCTTGGGATTGCTTTTCAGGTCCAAAGGTCAAAGGTCAAGGTCATTGTTACTATAAATAGAAAATATGTTTTCGTGCGATAACTTGAGTTTCCTTGGGCCGATCAAACTCAAACTTCATGCAGTGCTAAGCACAATCTCCCAGCTTCCTGCGCAGGCGACACGTCCACTTCCGTGGAATTCTTGTTTTTAACTCAGTAATGATCATTGTGTCGCTATCATTTTTGTACACCAAAGTCTACCGGAGCATAATTTCTTGACTGTTTCCTAGGAGGGTTGAAGTATTCTGATATCCATCCTCGACAATCACTTGTAAACGCTTTCTGCAGAGAGCGAAAGTGAGCGTAACCCCTGCAGTATCTTTTTTTTTTTGTATGAACGTTTCCATGATTTTTTCCAACAAATCATTCCGATACCCCAAAACCTGTTCGGAAAGTGTTTGTTCGAGTTTGTGTTTCCATCTTCTGGAGTCGGAAACTTCAAAGATAACCTTTACCACAACCACAATACCTGACGTCAATTTTATATATATTTACATGTATGATTCAAACAATCCTGACGACAGTCGGCACACGTCTTTAATGGTCGGTAGTCAAGTAGAACCAATGTAAATTCTTTAGTTAATGCACTTGTTAAAACATTGACCTATTATACCAAATTCACAGTTTGAAGCAGATCGATGGTATAGTTATGTTAAATAGATGCAAAGAGAAAGTTCTACCTTTAAACACCCAAATGACATTTTTTTTGAAACATCAAGAGGCCTTCCGTCATGATATATGGCCAGCCGCTTGTTGGCTAAGAGTTTGTGAAAAGAAACGACCTTGAACTATATTCAAGGTCACAGGGGTCAACTATTTTTAAACACTCAAATGGTACCATCTGAACAACCAAAAAGCATTGATGTAAGATATGTATGGCCAGTAGCTTGCTAGCATAAATTGTTACATTCTTTTAGAGAAAAAAACCCACATCGACATGTTCAGGGTCATAGGGGTCAACTCTTTTAAAACACTAAAATGGTTCCTTCTGAGCAATAAAAATCCCAACTGACATTCATAACATATAGCCAACATCTTGCTAACATGGAACACTACAACTACTGCATTTAAGAAATGACATTGATTTAAATTCAAGGTCACAAGAATCAAATATGTTAAAAGGCTCTCAGTGAATCTTCGGAAATACTAAAGAGGCCTACAGTCACGATATATAGCCAGTGGCTTACTAGCAATGAGTGCAAAACTATTTTGGAATAGAAATAATTACCTGTAGTTATATTCAAGGTCAAGGGTCAAATATGTTAATACACTCAAATAGCTTCTGATGAATCTTGCTAGGACAAAGTACTAAAGTTTTGGAGAAAAGAAATCTGTTACAACACTCAAATGACTTCTGAAGAACCAAAAGGCCTTGAGTCGGACATCAAATGTCCTTAATGGCTATTTAGCAAAGTGTAACAAGGTCTGAGAAAAAAAATGTCTTGACCTTCATTCAGTGTTACAAGAGTCAAATATGTTAAAACACCCAAACAGCTTCTTCTGAAGATCTAAAAGGCCCGCAATCCTGATTTTTGGCTATGACATGCCATGGAATGCTTCAAAGTTTTAGAAAAGAAATAACTTTAACTTAAACTCAAGGTCACAGGGTTAAATCTATTTAAAGATCTTAAACAACTACTTCTAAAGAACCAAGAGGTCCAGAATCATTTTGTGTGTGATATACAGCTTCTAGGTTGTTGGCTTGAAGAATTTTAAGTCTTTGGGATAAAGATATGACCTTGACTGATATTCAGAGTCACTGGGGCCAAATATGTTCCGACACTCAAACTGTGTCTTTGCCTCCTGAACACCAAGAGATATAAACTCATAATATATAGCAAGTGGCCTGCTTGCAATTGAGTACTACAAAATATATGAAAACGAATGATCTTGACCTACATTCAAGGTCACAGGGGTCAACTTTGTTAAAATACTGAAATGACTTCTGAAGAACTGAGAATACCTAGAGTCGTGATATTTAGTCACAGGCCCCGTATTTATTATTGTTACAATATGTGGATTTCGCTTAACTTAAAACTTCGCCTTAACCTGTCTTTTTATAAATGTCTTCGAAATTTCTCCCACCCTTTACAGTTGTGTCTCCCTTTAAAATAAATCAGCTTGTCAACCCCCTAGGGAGAGATAGCCTCGTGCAGAAGGGTGTGATCTAAGTCATAACAATGTTATGACGTCACATGAACAATGTATTGACATCACGTCAACATTAGCCGACCATGAAAGACAACTCTGGATTGTAATGGTAATTAACCTTAGCTTTTTTTTTTTTTTTCAGAGACAATGGTCTGTGGTATTACAGATGTAGCATGATGCTGGAACCTACCGTACCAAAGTTAGCGTACAGGTCAGAGGTCAACATCGATGTCAACCAGGTTATTCATATAGAAACTATACACATCAAATGCGAACCAAAGATTGAACGCTATTGCCGATGTAGCTTAGCATCAGACAGAAAAATTACCAAAATGTCCCAAAATATACACTATTCCACCAAGTTCATTGCGTTTAAACACGTACATGTTCAATCAAACAAAGGAAGGCCGATAATTTACAACAATGAGGTCAAGGTCAGCCTGACCTGTCCAAAACTTACAGAAGTTTATCACTCCCAGGCAATCCAGGTTCCGCCAATGAACAGTCAGTCTGATGTAAACAACAATATATCCGTCTACAGTGATGACGACACTTTGAGCAACGACACTATCGATTTTCCGCAGATATCTGGAAACCCTCTGACCATGTCGACTCCCATTCTGGGCAGGCATTTATCGGAGAGAAACCCTAGAATATTTGAAAACGATTCCATATCCTACTTGTATGAACACGATTCTTTAGATTCATTATTCAGCAAGGATTCCACTATGTCTGGAGACGATATCACAGACTTCCAGACACCACAGTTCAGAAACGAGGTGCTCATTCTTGGGTTAAATAGTAAGAAAAAGAGGTATGCAAACACTGCTAAATTATTGAAAGGAATCCTTAAAAAAAGACCACAATAAAAATAATGATTTTTTTTATAATGTTTTCCTCATATTTGTTTTTGACGTATATACGTAACTGCTTGCCACCAAAGCTCATACTAGGTATATGAAAGTTAACATTCTCACAGAATTTTGATAGAAGAGTAAACTTTAAAGAAAGGTATCTGACTGTGGAAGATAACCCTTTACTACATATATATTTATATGGGTCAAAGAAGTAATATAGACGGTAAAATCCCATATAACACTGGATCCTAATGGAGGTATGTCCGTAGGATACGAATTACTTAAAATAATATATGGGGCAAAGAAGTAATTCCAACAGTGTGGTCAAGTTATGGTTGTCAAATTTTCGAAGCGATCCCCTCCTTTATCAAGACACAGTGAAACAGAACAGTTACATGTACATCATATTACAAGAAGATAGAACTGATATACGATGCTCTCAGCTTGGTTGCTGCCTTCGGCTGTCTTTAGCCAAGGGGACGGTTGGTTTTGTATAATAGCTATATTTTCAATTATAGTATATCAGTTCTATCTTCTTATAATATGATGTATATGTACATGCAACTGTTCTGTTTCACTGTGTCTCGATAAAGGAGCGATCGCTTCGAAAATTTGACAACCTTAACTTGTCCACACTGTTGGAATTACTTCTTTGCCCCATATATATATATAAGGTGTTCGAAAATACTGTAAGTGTTATGACTTTAAAATAGCTGCATAAAGGGATGAAGTGGCTGTATTTTAGGATTACTTGGCAGTCGGGTAGCATAGTGGATAGCTAACTCACATTGTATTAAAGTAAATCACGATATTTTGTGAGTAATAAATGTTCAAAAATTTAATGATTTTAAAAATTTCGAGGAGACTTCCTCATAAATCTAAATAGGAGATTATAACTTCATCGATAATCACTATCAATATTAAAGAGTTTTGGAATAAATCAAAAATCAAAGGAGTCTCACATAGACATACCCATATCTGCAGAGAGCGAAAGTAAGGGTAACCCCGAAAGTCTCAAGGATGTAATATACACCACTCCCACAAATTGGTCAAGTATGACCTTTGACCATTTAACCTTGACTAATGACTACCAGATTTACCCCCTCCCCCCGGTACCTGGTAATCAGGTGTAGAATTTTACATTACCATACTTTAATGTGTTTAGGTGTAGAACTTTGTATTACCATACTAGGTGTTGGTATGAAATAATTTGTTCAGGAGTTCATGAAATATCTTTAACACAAGCTTTTTACTACAGATGAACACAATGGCAACGCGATGACCATATTCCGTCTTTGCGTATTGCAGAGTTATCTTCTCTTGTGAGCAGGTATTGATTGTTACGTCCTTGGTTTGTGTGCGAAAATTACGTCGTTTTCTCAAAAATTGATGACGTTACTCTCACAAACAAATGAGGTAACAATCAATACCTGTTAACAAGAGAAGATAACTCTGCAATACGAAAAGACGGAATACCGCCTTCACCAAGTACAATTACAAACCAAAAATGGTGACTTAGAAACTAGAATGTGTATGATGCAGCTCCCCACGTAGAACCATGTGTAATGGGTGATACCAGCTGCAGCAACCCGCATGCAAAAAACTTCAGAGGTCACAGAGGTCAAGGACACAAAACTGGCATGCACCATGGAGGATGCTGTACTCATAGTGGCCCATGGGCATGTGCAGTTGTCTGATCTTTACTGCAGAAACTGGTCTATAACTGACCTAAAGGATTTTATCTACAGTAATATCTCCTTAACTCATTTACCCCTGAAGACACATTTGAACTCTTCCAATTCAAAGGTTGGAATAGTTCACTATGAAATTTCAGGGGTGAATGAGTTAAGAGTAGTAGTATAACAATCTGAAGTCTAGGACTTGAATCCCAGTCTACCCCATTGAATTTTTACACCCAGAACACTGTTGTTTATTCATTTTGTTATTTATTTTATATCTTTTATTTCTCGTAAAAGTCTCCCGAGGTATGGTTATCTTTTTAGAAATGATTTATCAAAGCTATAGTCATGTCTCTGGTAGTGGTACGAGAATCGTTCATGCAAAATCTGAACTGAGGTCACAAAGTTCAAGGCTAAATGGTATAATTATCATCTTTATAAAATAAGTCGTATTTGCGAAAATGGTAAGTTTTTTAGGAGTTCCGACACATGTTCTGATGTAAATTCTAACTTGCATTTTCACTATTTTTGCCAGTGAAATATAGAGAAATATCACTATTAGTGGCACATTGCACCTAGAACGAAACATGAGTTTAGCAAGTAAAATAGGAGACTAGTAGATTTTCAGCTGTAAAATTGAACTCACTCTACCAAACAAAGTTGTTTTGCACCTTTATGCAAAGGAGCATATATAGACTTTATTGCTATCAGTCGGAATATCTACACAGGCCAATGAGCTAAGGTACATGTATTTATTAACCTCATTGCTATAATTTTGTAGTCTTGTACAATGTCCTGTTGTCTATCTCAATAAAGACAATAGATGTCAATAACGTATGAAGTTTAACACGACATTGTGCATGGATTCAATCATCCGAACAAAAATCAACCTTAAATTGAAAACCAGACAATAAAGTCATCACATATAATTTACTAAAATGACAAATTCTTTTTTCACATCCACAGTCAATAATAATAGGATTAGCTATATAAAACACTTGAGATAAAAGACCATGTCTATTTGTATCTTTACAGACAATTATATCTTGTCTCAAATAATTGATTTAACATCAGCATTCTCTATAAAGGATAAAATCTGTCCTTCAGATATCATTAAAAGTGAATGATGAATAACACAGAACATTCATACACATGATCATATTTATTTAACACAGGGGAGATAATCATCATCCTCACGATGCATCCAATGTAGCTGTATTATGAACAGAAGAATAGTCTGATGTAAACACCTGATCTAATAGATTTCCCCCCGCTCATTTACTCTCTTCAGTCACACCCCAACAAGCATAGTCACGCTGTCTCAGCTCATTTTCTCCCTTCGGTCACACCCAAGGAAGCACTCTCTTCAGTCCCACCCCAAGAAGCATAGTCACGCTGTCCCAGCTCATTTACTCTCTTCAGTCACACCCCGGGAAGCATAGTCACGCTGTCTCAGCTCATTTACTCTCTTCGGTCACACCCCAGGAAGCATAGTCACGCTGTCGCAGAGTCAGAGGGTTGGTCTTGTCTTCTGGCATCAATTCCACAGTTCTGTAATACACTGGAAAAAACAATAAACCCAGTATTATAAATAATGTTAAATTTTCAATTTTTTACTTTTTGTTTCAGTATTATAAATTGATTGATATCCAACTACTTTTCCAATTTAACTGGTAACAAAATGTCATTTGATATAATTTCAAACCCATAAATATTTTGAAATTTTGTTCTTCTGATTGGTAAGTATGAACTGTTTAGAAGTTCATACAGCACATACCTGAAGAAAATGTTTTGAAATATCCCAACGTTTGTCTGATAAAGGCAACAGAAAACATTTCACTGGTTGTGCTATAAGAACCTCTTTACAATCCATTCACATGCTGAGCAAGGGGCCAAAGTCTCTTGCTCATTTTCAGCTTTTTCAAGAATCTAAAGGATACCGGGTAAGTAACTTTAATTAATTCAGTAATCAATACATATTTTTGTGTTCAGTATCCTTTCGGTCCTGACATTTTTACATGCTTGAACATTTCTCATAATCACAATGGCCAGATCCTTTACACTTAACCAGTCCTCAAAAACTCATGTAGACTGGTGGTTATCCGGTGAATAGTGATTTCTAAACATAGCCTATATGGAAATTCATAGTCCGAATTATTCTGACGTTTTATCGACTTTTCTTTATATTGGTCTGTCGTCGATTAACGTCAGAACTCCGGCCCTCTATAATATGGGGGAAATAAGCAACCCGCACCCAGGTCCACTTCAAACTGATATTTTAGAAACAAATCGTCACTTTCACACACATGTCGCACATGGGTCGAAAGATCTATTCTTTATGCACTAGGTGGTATCAATAACATGTTTCAAAGATCATTACGAACAGTATTTTCCAACGTTTTCTATACCAACCCATGTTTTTAATGGAAATTAGGGCATGAGCAATGTCACATGACTTGAAGAGCAATGTCACATGACTTGAAGAGATCTCGTGTTACCGGAGGTATTTCCCAACGTTATGACATAGGCTGGCGAGATTTTAGTCACGTGGCATTAGAAGGCGGGGCTTTCAAAAAACTAGAGTAAAACAGAGTAAGTTGGAAAAAATATGTTTTTAGTGATTGTATTGGTTGTTTGAGGCAAGTAACTTATGTTCATCTTGTGCATAAAGAATAGATCTTTCGATCCATGTGCGACATGTGTGTGAAAGTGACGATTTGTTTCTAAAATATCGGAACGCGATCTGTCAAACGAAAACAGAAGATGGCTACTGGCATATAATTCGCCTCCGTTACATCTGAACATTTTATTATTGAAGCATATAATAAAGCTTTTGTACTGGTTAATATGATGCGATAAGAACCAGGTTCATATATACCACGTCATATTCACTCGGCTTCGCCTCGGTCAATATCACTTTTTCAGGTTCATATCACATCATTTTCATCAGCACAAAAATCCATAATCGTATATCAATGCATTACAACAAGAATTACCAGTCGATACTGCCTAAACATAACATAAATCACAGTATCTAATCTTTACAACGTTATACCAGTCGATACTGCCTAAACATAACATAAATCAGCAGTATCTAATCTTTACAACGTTATCACACATAACGCACCTTCAGAATGGCATCAAATATACCATGTCTACAGGTATAGAGAAAATAAGTCACCATATATACATCTTTAACAATTACTTACTTTCTGAAATCCAGGGTATTTTTGTATACATCTTCTTCCTTAATTCTGAAAAAGTAATTTGAAAATTTACAGTGAAACCATTCAATTTATCTGGAAGTCAATTTTTAAAAAAAACACCATTTTA